CCCTTTCATTTCTAACACCCCTTGTACCTGATGTGGAGTTAAGACTTCTAACTTCTGCCCAAGAGTTAGTTTACTAGCTTCCTCGGTTAGCATGGCTGTGGCTGCAACTGCTCTTAGACATGGAGGCCACCCAGCTGCTACAGTGTCCAGTTTTTTTGAGAAATATGCAACTGGTTGAGGCTCATTCCCTAGTCGTTGGACTAAGACCCCTAAAGCTATCCCTTGCTTCTCTGCTATGTATAGAGAGAAAGGCTTGTTTAAGTTGGGGATGCCTAAGGCTGGGGCTTCGACTAGAGCCTGCTTGATTTTATTAAAAGCCTGATCACATTCTTTTCTCCATATAATGGGTTCAGTGTCTGGCCCCTTATGCAGAGGTTTGGCGATTAGCCCAAAGTTGGGGATCCAAATCCTACAGAATCCTGCCATTCCTAAAAAGGAGCGAAGCTGCTGTTTAGTAGCAGGTGGAGTTAATTCAGTAATGGCTTTAATTCTCTCCTGTGATAATTGCCTACATCCAGGAGTCAAAATATACCCTAAGTAATTTACTTTTTGTTTGGTAATCTGAGCCTTTTTTCTTTGATACCCGATATCCTCTTTCAGCTAGGAAATTCAGAGCCTGGATGGTATTTTGATCAGAAGCCTCCTTGGAGGGGCTGCAGATTAGTATATCATCTACGTATTGTAAAATGGCCCCTCCTTGTAGCTGTAAATCTCTAAGATCTTTTTCTAATACCCTAGCAAAGAGATGGGGACTGTCCCTAAACCCTTGTGGCAATACAGTCCAAGTATATTGCTGATGTATCATTGTCTTTGGATCAGTCCACTCAAAAGCAAATAAATACTGAGAGTCAGGATGCAAAGGGATGCAGAAGAAGGCATCTTTTAGATCTAATACTGAATACCACTGAGCATCATCTGGTATCTGCGAGAGCAAGGTGTAAGGGTTAGCTACTATTGGATGTAAAGGGACTACTGCTTCATTGACTAACCTTAGGTCCTGGACTAGCCTGTATTCTCCTGTAGGTTTCATCACTGGTAAGATGGGAGTGTTGCAAGGAGACTGACAAGGGACTATGAGCCCATGTTGTATAAATTTAGTTATGATGGGCTGTAACCCCTCCAAAGCTTCTTGTTTAATAGGATACTGCTTCCTGTGAGGGTAATCTGACCTGGGTTTTAACTGGATTTTAACTGGTAATGCAGTCTTTGCTCTTCCAGGAACCCCTGACTCCCAAACTAGTGGGTTTACTGCATCCAGAACTGAACTTGGGATTTCTTCCTGATTTCGAACACTACTGATTATCATCACCTTACTTAACTCAAATGGCACTTCAGGGAACAACAAGATGGTTCCCATCCGAGCTAAAAGGTCCCGGCCTAACAGAGGAATAGGGCACTGAGGAACAATTAAAAAGGAGAGTTTGAATACTCGACTCTCAAATTGGCAAGTGATAGGGAATGTATAAAAATATGCCTTAGGATTTCCTTCGACCCCCATTACCTTAACTGATTTGGAGGAAAGAGGTCCAGAGTAAGAGTTAAGGACAGAGTAAGTGGCCCCTGTATCAACAAGAAAGTCGATTTTCTTACCTGCCACATCTAGAGTTACCCGGGGCTCCTCGGTAGAGATGGGAATATGAGTATTCCCTGGGGCCGACCTGTTCCCCGGGCACCTTCAGTCCTCAAGAGTAGCCATGGCCTTGGGAGATGACCCCTTTCCACTATGGGAACGGGGGGCAGTCTACCTTCCAGTGCCAGGGATCAGAACTGAAGTTCTTGCATAGAGGACAGGGCCTCGGAGGTGGCTGAGTGCAGTTCTTTGACCAGTGTCCAGGGCGCTTGCACTTATAACAGGTCTGATCCTTTTGCCCCTGACTCCTTTGAGGCCTCCCCAGCTCCCCTGATGGGGCTGGTTTCCGCCAATGGCACTACTAAAGGCTAGTGCAAGGAGCTCTGCTTGCCTCTCCCTTTCCTTCTTTCCCTGTTTTCTTTCCTCCAAATCCCTATTGTTAAAGACTGAAAAGGCTGTATCCATGAGCTGATCTAAGGGGGTCTGCGGGCCCATTTGTAATTTCTGAAGCTTCCTGCGAATATCAGGGGCAGATTGAATTATAAAATGCTGCCCTATCAAGATTCGACCCTCCGGGGATGAAGGGTCCAAGTTTGTATATTTTTTGGAAGGCTTCTACTAGTCTGTTTCTGAAGAGAGCTGGGTTTTCTTCCTTGCCCTGAAAGATTTCCCTAACCTTTTCATAATTCACAGGTTTCTTGATGCAGTTTCTCATTCCTGCCAGTAAGCAATCTATCATTGCATCCCTACTCCGGATCCCTGCCTGAGTATTGTATTCCCAGTTAGGTTCCTGGCCCAGGACAGCTTGGGCAGCTGGCTGGTTAGTGCCAGGGTTTTGGGTATGCAGCTGATCTGCATACTTATGGGCCTCCTCCCAGATCCGCTGTTTCTCGTCTGGGGAACAGCAGGTGGTCAGAATTATGTACAAATCCCTCCACGACATACTAAATGCTAGAGTAAGAGTCTGGAAATTACTAGTGAAACGTGAAGGGTCCTCTGAAAAACTCCTAGCCTGTCTTTACATTGTTGTAAATCAGTTATAGAGAATGGCACTTGTACCCTTATAGCACCTTCAGGGCCTGCTACCTCCCTCAAGGGTAGGAGTGCAGGAGTGGTAGGGGAGATAAGAAGCGCCACTTCTAGTATGTCCTGCAGGGCTGGGTTTTTCCTCAGCTGGTGGCTTTAGGTTACCCATAGCATAAGGTGGTGGAGAGGTCGCTCCCTCTAAGGTAGGGGCAGAGACTTCAGAACTCTGCGGGGGTTCCCTTAATCTCCCTTGAGAGACAGGCAGGGAGCTAAGGAGGGTATCTTCTAATTGATCAACACTTGGGCCTGTAGGTTTTGTCAGGGTGGGGCTGGAGCAAAACAAGAGATCTCAGTACAGAGCCATAAACGCCTGCACGTAAGGAACTTCAGACCATTTGCCTTCCCTCCGGCAAAATAGATCTAGCTGTAGGATAGTATTATAATTTGTGCTCCCATTCTCAGGCCATATCTCTCCATCCCCTAATTTATACTGGGGCCAAACAGTGTTACAAAAGAAAACTAATCTTTTCTTTTTTAAATTTTTGGGGTCAAATTTATCCCAGTTGCTAAAAATGCAACCCAATGGTGATTTGGAAGGGATGGAAGATGTAGTTCCCATCTCGACTGTGGTGATCCTAAGAGAGAAGAAAACACAAAGATACTCCTTTGCAGACTAGAGGCGTCCCTCTCTTTGCTGCCCTTAGGAGATTCCTAGTGGGCCATGGGCGTCCCCTGGGATCCCACCGAACTACCAGACGTCTCTGGCGAAAGAAATCCTAGTGAGTGTCAGCCGACAGAAATCAAAAAGACTTGAGAGAATCACCACAGTCTACTTTTGTCTCTAACTATTGGGAAGGAACCAGTCCTGCATTCTTGAGCAATTGCCTATAATCCTGAAAATCCCAGACTCTACCCTTGTGGCCCTAGTACATTTCCATTTCTGTATTCTTCATCTACGGGGACCCTCATTTTCCTGTAAGCTTTAAGATCTGGGGAAAAGGAAGTGTCTTACTAGAAAAAATAATTTCTGGCCCTGTAAACCATTAAGAGGAGCACCAAGATGATCTTATTATAAAATGACTCTTTTCCAGATCACAAAGAAGACCCTTAAATATTCTATGTAATTTTCCAGAGCTTTAAGAAATTGTGCCTGCGTCTGAAATCTCCCAGAAGGGACCTCAAGCCATGTCTAAAACACCACCCTTCATACTGGAGGCGTATCTCATGGAGGGACAATGAACTGAGAGGGGAAATTAAAATACCCTTATAGAAACAAGTAAACCACCTTAGAATTCCAAATTCAATTAATTAGGTAAAAGTGGCTCTATGCAGCCATTCTAGTAACCAGCGACCAGCAGGCACCTGTTGTGCAGTTCTGAGCGATGTTGCTGCTTACAATGATAGTATACACGTGGCAAAGATGGGAGTGGCTCATTCCTGCAACTGTACTTAGCGCTAGCCTAACAATGACCCCAAGGTAGATATCTTAGTACAAAGACAGCAGGAACCCTTCATACATAAAAAGGCAAGTGGGGGTGTGAGTGAAGGTATAAAGATCAGAAGTCAGTTGGGGAGGAAAAGCATAAAAGACTGTCCGTGGGCCTGATGAAAAGAATGCAAAAGGAAGTCACAGCGCAGGTGAGGTGGTGACTGATATCCCGCTTGGAAGGTCCGACTATGCCTACTGGGGGAGTGGCCGCGGGGTGGGGCAGTGTTTTGTGCTTTCCACAGTGTGCCTGACCGTTGTGCGGACATTTTCTTGTACCTGGCAGGGACTAAGACTAACCCCGTTCCGCATCCAAGTTATCCTATCACAGGAGTCCTCAAGCGGCGGGCGCCCTTGTGGCTTTTAACTGCCCGACCTGTGCCCGCAAATTAGCGGCCGACCTTCCATCACGGAACATCAGAGTCACCGAAACAGAATAGGTGACAACGGAAAAGGGCATCCCGGGTGTCAGAGCAGCAAAGGGGGCTTACCACTCCGGTGTCTTCTCCTAAGCTGGCTCGCCAAAAACTGTCACAGGTGTGCACAGGTAACCAGGTTCTTAGTGATCGAGGACAAAGAATTGAACCGAACACACAAAGTTTATAGCATAAAGAAAGAGGGGAGGTTTATTAAGTGATAGTACATACCACAGGACACGGGAGTGAGCCAGCTCTGAGCAGAGGAAAAAAAAGGGCACGTGGGCTGGGGGGATTCTATTCTTATAGGGGCAGAAGCCCCCCTGCTAGTCTTTGGCGGGCTTTTCCTGCGCAGGTACAAGGAGTTGGATTTTCAAAGCTACTGCGCATGCGTGGTTTCCCATGACTTTCTTGATTGGCTACTGGAGAAGGGAGTCCCAAAATGTTATTTCATTATAATGATATTATAATGAATCAGGGGTAGTGCGCAGGCGCATTCTATGATTCAGAGTTATCCCAGAAAACAGGAACAACCCGTCTTAGGGGGTCTTTGTCATGTATAGATGTTTTCTACCTCAGCCCTGCGGGGCCTCAGGAGCTTCCTTCCTGACTACCTCCTGCCTCAATTGGACAGTCCCCAGGGGAGAGGACACACGTCCCTGTGGGGAGGGTGGCTTGGTGACCACCTCCTGACATGATGCTGATGAGAATACAGACATGTTCCAATGCCGGTTGCAGAAAAAGGAGGCAGGGATCCTGAAAGTCCAAGGGGAGGCTATAGTGACTATTTTAGCACCAAGTCCCCTACAAGGCAGCTCTGTCACACTGTGAAAGAAAGTTGTCATGAATAAATTCAGGTCAGTCTCAGAAGTGTCACATTCTCCAACAGCCTACCACAGGCTCAGAATATCCCATTCTGAGAATCCCCAAAATCCCGATTTGCCCCTCAGTTCCAATACCCCCCACTTCCTACCCTCAGGGTCTCACCCTTAGGAGCTGAGAGAGACACCTCAGAGCCCAGGGAACTGTCGATGCCTGGAGAAGACACAACAGCAGAGTTATGGGGTGGGGGAGCCCCCCTCAGAGACTCCAGCCCACACTCTCCCAAGGGACCCAGCTGTCACCTCCCCAACACCCAGACTTACAGGCAGCTTGAGCGTAGCTCTTCCTGCCTCTGCCTGTGGGAAGAAAACATTCTGTGAGAAGTCAGGGGGAAGGCTGTGTTCTGTGACCCTCAAGGAATCCCATTCTCCTGAGGCACAGGGAAGGTTCCAGAACTGTGACTGAACACCCAGGGTACAATCAGGAATAGTACATGTGTGGGGACTGGTCCAGCCGCTGGTCTGGACATCTCTCCTCAGCAGGGACCTTCCCCTCTGACCTGTGACAGCTGGGAACCAATCCCCATCATTAGAATCATCAGATGTGTCCTTCACTTTCCCATGGGCCTCCCTAAAGAGTCAGTGTTAGGAAACAGGCCCCAGCTCGGCAAGCACCCGTGTGGTGATACAATGCCTATTAAGCAGACAGAGCACACTTCCACCTGGGCTTGACCCCCAGGGGGACAGGAAACTCAGCCCCACCCCTTGCCCACCTGAGTCCTTCCTCCTCCACAGCACAGCTCCAGTGGCCACAGCTCCAAGGAGACCCAGGGCAGCAGCGATGCCCACAATGATGGTGATGGTGGTCTGAGGAGGGGGGTCTGTGAGGGGAAGGTGAGGGGTCAACTTCAGGCCTGAGTCCTGACCCTGCTCAGGGACACCCTGAGGAGAGGCTCTGTGCCCACACCCCCTCCTCACCCCATCTCAGGGTCAGGGGCTCGGGCAGCCCCTGGTGTTGCACATGGCATGTGTATCTCTGCTCCTCTCCAGGGGGCACGACCACAGCTGCCCACTTCTGGAAGGTCCCGTCCCCCGCAGGCCTGGTCTCCACAAGCTCCACATCCTGGGTCAGGTCCTCCTCTTCACGCTGCCAGGTCAGGGTGATGTCCGCAGGGTAGAAGCCCAGGGCCCAGCACCTCAGGGTGACCTCATGGTCAGAGATGGGGTGGCAGGTCACATGTGTCTTTGGAGGGTCTAAGGGGAGGGTGAGATTCTGGATCTTTGCATGGTCGTGGGACACTCCAGCAGTGCTCATGTGACCACTCTGAGAGTGGACAGGACAGTGGAGGTTGGGGGAAGGGAGAGCAACACCCAGACACCAGCCTGGGCAGAGGCACCTGGGATTATCTCCGATTTCTTGGATAATCCCCTAGTCCTTAAAAGGTTCCAGACTCTGAGTGAGAACCTGGGGTAGGAATGTCCAGGTCTCTGAAGGAAGACACAGACTCAGGTGGAGGTCCAGTGACTGAGAAAAGCTGGCGTGAGGCCTCCAGGGGCAGTCTCAGTCTGAGAAGGAGGCAGAGGGTCCTGCTGGGCCAGATGGCTGTGGGGGTGTAAGGGACTTGTTGTGGGTTATTTCAGGAAGAGGGTGGGTCTCTTATTGTCCTTTAGAGCAGGGACACTAACCCGATGGCGATGGACAAGTACTGGTCGTTGGTCTGTTTGGAAGTGGGACGCACAGCAGGAGGTGGGCGGCGGGCTAGCCTAAGTTACCGCGTGAGCTCAGTCTTGTCTCCTAGCCCACCCCTCACCGCGTCCATGAAAAAACTGTCTTCCACGAGACCTGTGCCTGGTTTCAAAACTTTGGGGACCGCTGCTTATAGAGAAAGCTGGGCCCGCGGGTGAGTCACAGAATGAGACCTGGGGGACTCTTCCCCCGAGCAGCGGGGACATTCTGACACTGCCCCATTCCCCTCCTGTCCTTGTAGCTAGCCGCTCCAGCCCTCAGATCCCCTCCTCAGGGAGCCCGGGCACTGGTACCTGCTCGGAGCAGCGTCTCCTTCCCCTTCTCCAGGTACTTGTGGAGCCAGAGCACGCACGTTCTCTTCAGGTAGGCACTCTTGCTCTCCGCATCAGGGATCTGCACCAAGTTGCGCGCGGTGGTCGTGGCCTCGGTGTCTGCCGTGGTCCAGGAGCTCAAGTCCTGGTTGAGGGCGAGGTATTCGGCGCCGTCGTAGGCGAGCTGACTGTATCCGCGGAGGAAGCTTCCGTCTGAGTCCACGACGCAGCCGCTCATTTCCTGGAAGGTGTGCGACACTGACCCCGCCCCATGTCAGCCCCGCGAACAGAGCGACTCCCCGAAACCACCAGTACCGACCCACCCGAGGTGGTTAAACATAAACTGAAAATCAAAGCGGATCAAAGTCGCCCCCGTGCCCCTCTCGGGTTGGGGGCAAGGCGTGTCACGAAGTCTCGGGGGGACGCTGGGACCCGGAGACTTGGGTCGACAGCCTCCGGGCTCGGTGAGGGGGTCGTGCCGGACCCGGGCGCGCGAGGCTCACCGTCCTCGCTCTGGTTGTAGTGGGCGCGCAGCCTGTTCACGTTCTGTTGGCTCATCTGTGCATAGTGCTGGCAAACCCCTGTCTGATCTTTCCAATAGTCCGGCCTCTCCTGCTCCACCCACGGCTGCTCCATCCACGGCACCCGCGGCTCCAGCCTCGGGTTCCGGGCGTCGCTGTCGAACCGCATGATCTCCGTGTCGTCCACGTAGATGACACCTATGTACCGGGACTTCCCGCGGCCCGGTCCGGACACAAAGGTGGTGAAAAGTCTCCTGGTGTGGGAGCCTGGGGGCAGGGAGGACGCGAATTTTGGGTCGGATGTTGGGCAGTTAGGGGCAGGGGGCCTGGGAGACGCAAAAGGGGGCGATGGTTGAGAAGAGAGGGCGGGGGGGCGGGGAGGGGAGGGGCGTGGCCGAGGTGGGAGTGGGGTGGGGGTGGTCTGTGGTATGGGGTCTGGGCATGGGGCGCTGTAGGTGCGCTCTGCTGAGGTCTTGCGCCCCCGTGGGATCCCCTCGCTCCTGCCCCGCAGAGGCGGTTCCCTCCGACCACGCACTCACCCGCCCAGGTCTCGGTCAGGGCTAGCGCCCCCCAGAGCAGCAGGAGCAGCAGGAGCAGCGGTCGGGACTCCATGACCCAGACCCTGAGCGTCTGGGGACTAAGAGTTCCGCTAGTGGGTGAGGACTTCATACCCGGAACCACAGTGACGCCGATTGCTGCTCTGGTGTTCGGACACCCAATGGGAGTGAGAACTGGGGAAGCGTCATGAGTATCCAGGATGTAGGCCTTGACGTGGGTTGTGAGTGAGAAGGGGACTTCCCAAAACCCAGGGTCCACTGACAGGGACCTGGGCTGAGATCCTGAGAGCCAGGCCTGGGGACCCCGTACTCTGCCCCGAACCCTTCTCCTGCACGGAGAACTCTGTCCCGCTGTCTCCCTGAGTCCCGGCCCACGGGCTGTTTTATTCAGCGACTCTCAAACGTTTTGTATTCAGAATTCTATAGTCTTACAAAATAGGGAGGACTCCCCAAATAATTGTGTTTGTGTGCGTCATAACTATCAATATTTACCATACAAGGAATAAAACAGTTTGAAAAATTCATTTAGAATAACATTAATAACCTATGATATGTTAACAGAAATAACTTTTTGGTGAAATGTAACTATTTCTACATAAACAAGGTAAAGGGAGAGTGGATCTGCTTACATCTTACATTTTTGCAAGTCTCAGTGCTTGTCTATATCATTAGCAGTCCGCTGGATTTTCATATTTGCTTTTGCTTTAATCAGTTATTTTGGTTGCAGTATGTGAAGAAATGTACAGCCTTATGCAAATATGTAGGAAGAACATTCTTAATAACTTTTTGAGATAAGAGATATTCATCTTTGATGGTTCACTAAAGCTACACAAGTGGTAGTTTCTGAAAAGCTCTTTGCAAAGTGGAACCTGAAACAAAGCCATAGAGTATTTCCTACTCTGTTACATTACTTTAGTGCTTCTTATATTGATGTAGGATTATTTGAAAGTGATGCATTGTTTCACTAAGTGATAGAGATCTCCCAGGCTGGGTGCATTTAATGACACATCATCAAAAATTACATTTGTTAATGTTACTGCAGACCCCACTGGAAACAGTTGTCAGCTCTGGGAAGCTGTCTGACTGCTGTGGTGAGACACACGTTTGCCAGAATCCTGGTTTTCCTCTGAGAGCTTCCATTCCATGCAAACAACAAGTGCTGTCAGGGGTCAACTGCTCGTTGACATTTCTTGAGGGAGAAGCTCACGCTCATTTGAGAGAGTGTTCGCCAGTTCACCACACCTCAATCATCACAGCTTCTGTGTCTCTCATTCTCTTAAGAGAACTTACTGTTCTGTGAAGAAGAGGCTGACTCAGCCCTCACAGGTCACTTTCCTGGGCTCATGACACTTGGGGATAAATGTAGCAGAAGTGTGTTTGTGCACTTTCCTGGTCATCATAGGAGACATCTTATTTTTCTCCATTGTCATTAAGGACAATTAAGAAATTAACCTATTTGTATAATGAATTCAAAATATGTTCATCTTCTGTTTACATATTTTTTATTGTTCAATGACAGTTGATGTACAGTATTGGTTTTGGGTGTACAACTCTGTGATTAGACATTTATATATCTTACAAAGTCATCTCCCAATAAGTCTAATACCCATCAGACACCATACATAGTTATTAAAATATTATGGACTATATTCCCTATGCTGTACTTTACTTCCCCATGACTGTTCTGTAACCACCAATTTGTACTTGTTAATCCCTTCACCTTTTTCACCCAGTCCCTGTAACTCCCTTCCCCTCTGGCAGCCTTCAGTCTGTTCCCTGTATCTATGAGTCTGTTTCTGTTCTGCTTGTTCATTTACTTTCTTCTTTATATTCTACAGATAGATGCAATCATCTCACATTTTCCTTTCTCTGTCTGACTCATTTCACTCAGCACAATACCCTTAATCGGCATTGTTGCCAATGGCAAAGACTTCATTCTTTTTTTTTTTTTTATGGCTGAGGCATATTCTGCTGGGTATGTGTACCACCTTCTCTTCACCCATTAATCTACTGATGGACACTTAGGTTGCCTCCATAGCTTCACTTTTGTAAATAGTGCTGAAACGAACATGTGGATGTGGATGTGTTTTCCAGGTAGTAATTTGAATTTCTTCAGATCAATACCCAGAAGTGGAATTGCTTGGTCCTTCTTTGTCTCCTGTTATATATAACCTTTGATTTAAAGTTTGTGGGGTCTGGTATAAGCATTGCTACCCCAGCTTTTGTTTGTTTGTTTGTTTGTTTCCATCTTCATGAAATAGTTTCCAATCCCTGAGCTTTCAGTCTGTGTATGTCTTTTGATCTGAATTGAGTCTCTTGTAGACAGCATAGATAAGGGTCTTATTTTCTTATGCATTCAGCCACCATATGTCTTTTGACTCGAGAAATTAACTAATTTGCATTTAAAGTAATTTTTGAAAAATTAATTTGTTGTTCAAGTACCATTGTTTGCATTTGCCCCCCACTACCGCCCACCAGCCATCCCCACCTACCTCCCCTGCTTCCACCCCCCCTTTGGTTTTGTCCATGTGTCCTGCATGTAGAGTAATTTTTGATAGATATGTATTTATAGTCATTTTATTGTTCATATTTTTTATTTTTGTTCTTCTTAGAGAACCCCTTTAACATTTTTGTAATGCTGATTTGGTGGCGTTAACCCACGAAAGCATTTGTTTGTCTGGGAAGTTCTTTATTTGTCCTTTGATTAAAAAGTATACCTTTGCTGAGTAATCTTGTTTGTAGGTCCTTGCTTTTCATCACTTTGAATATCTCTTGCCAATCTCTTTTGACCTGAAAAGTTTCTGTTGAGAAATCTGCTGACAGCCTTCTGAGAGCTCCCTTGTAGGTAACTAACTGCTTTTATGTTGGTGCCCTTAAAATTATTTGTCTTTAACCTTTGACATTTTAATTATGATGTGTCTTCTGTGGGTCTTTTTGAATTCACCTTGTTTGGGACTCTGTACTCTCTGGACTTACATGTCGACTCCCATCACCATGTCTGGGATGTTTTCCATGGTGTGCGTTCTCCCTCGATGTTGTGATGAACAAATCCAGCTAAGTGGTGGGTCCTAGAGCACAGGGTCAGAATCTGAATCTTAGATTGTGGTCTGAGGGTGATCTTTCAGGGGTTTTATAAGTGTAGGGATTTTAAAGTAACTTGTTCTTTGAAAACATTATTCATGCACGTACAAGAGATCTCAAAAGACTCTCAAGAGTTCACAAAATTGAATAAGTCACATTGTCCCCTTGCCCTCTCAGTCATCTAAGTCCTCTACCTGAGTACTTTTGATTTCTCTCCCAAGGAAGATATGTCTGTGCATTAATGTTGGTGTTATGGCTGTAAAATGAGCTCAGGATACAGAGTGGGAGAAAATGTTTGCAAATCACTTCCAGGGGTGTCTAACCTCTTGGCATCTCTGAGCCACACTGGATGAAGAAGAGTTTTCTTGGGCCACACATTAAATACATTGAAACACGTATTCACCAAAAAAGCCTCATAATGTTTTAAGTAAAGTTAGAATTTTGTTTTGGGCCACATTCACAGGCATCCCTGTGGCCTGTGCGCTGCAGGTTGGACACCATTAGACTCCCCTGTAAGAATTGTTAAACTCAACAAGAAGAAAAAAATAAATAAAAATCTATCAAATTGTAAAGAGCCACCTCACCAAAGTTATACCAGCCCTGGACGGGTGGTTCAGTTGGTTGGAGCATTGTCCCATGCACCAAAAGGTTGTGGTTTGATCTTGGGTCAGGGCAAGTGTAAGGGACAACTGATTGATGTCTCTCTCTCTCTCTCTCTGTCTGATTCTCTCTCTCAAATCAATAAACAGCCTCAGGGGAGGATTAAAAAAGAAAACAGCTTGCTGTAGAACCATTTGCTTTGTTTCAGCCACAACGGCCTTCAACACCTCGAACAATACTGGCACCCAGTGAAGGATTAGTGAATAGTGTAATTGAGAATATTATAGACACTGACATCCACAGATTAGATTGTCAAGAGTCACTTTCAACAGTTCATGACCCCAGGAGCTCTAGAATCCCTGAGCATCTGCAGTGAGGGGTGAAGAGCAGGAGAACAAGAAGCCAAGTAGGGGTGGTCTGCATTCACCAGAGATGAGCACAATGACTTTAAAGTGAACATACAAATCAGCACATAGGAAGTGACACAGGTGTCCAACAGCATCAGGATGGTGTGGGTGGCTCTGGTCTCTGGAGGGCACTGGTGGGGGCTGTGCTGTGGGGTGTTAGTGTGCTGCAGCCTCTGGTGGTGTCTGTGCAGGAGAAGCACCATGTAGACGCTGCACCACACCATGAGGACAAAGAACGTGACATCAGAACATGACTACAAGATGGCAGCCTCAGGCAGGTCTAGAGACTGGGGACAATGATGGCCATTACTGAGATGGCCCTCTGGAGCAGCCAGCAGGAGGTAGAAAAAGTGTCCCATGTTCCTTGGGGAGAATCTGAGCTGAAACTCCCATTGTCATTGGGGTGCAGGGACACTCTGCAGCAGGAGCTCCAATCACAGCATTTCCCACTGGGCCCTTGCCTTCAGCTTCTTCTTCTTCTGTCCCCAGGCCCCTCACAGTGGTCATCCTGTGTGACCCCTGGCTGGTCTTCCTATGCATTCAAGTTCCACAGGGCTTGCTGTTCCCAGCCTGAGGTGCGTTGAGTCTGGAAAATACCTCCACTTGAAGCCACTGTGTCCTTGCTCAGGGTCTGGGGTCTCCCTCTGACCATGTGACCTAAAGGACACTGTAATACCTCTCTATCACTCATAGAGCTCATACTGGAGTCTCTCATTGGACTAGCCTGTCCCATGTTCTGGATGATGACTGTGGAAAGAAGCCTTCCTGGCTGCATACACACTGGGATTAGGGCAAAGCAATGATGTGGAAATACAGGGAGATAACATTAAAACTGACCACTGCAATATTCGATTGACAGTAAGAAATCTCAGTTGATAATCACATCTTAGAATCCAGCTCCACCCACCAGCACACTGGTCCGAAGGCTTCCTTCTGAGACACCACGGGGGGCAAGGGGCACAGTCCACTATTTCTCCCTGTCCTTCTGCAGTGGCTTGCGCACTGGACACCTGGACCTGTCACTTTATGTACAGGGGTCGTTCAAGCTGAGACAGGCAGGTGGGACATCTAGGGCTTCAATGCAGTATCCAGCTGTAGCCCCTCTCAGGGAAATAAAAATGCTCTGCACCTGACCTCTGGTCTCCTTCCGTCCCCCACATGTGACCCCCTCTCCTCTCTTCTTCCCCTGCCACTTCCTTCCCCTCTGGTGACCACCACAGCGCTGGCTGTGACTGTGAGTTCCTTTTTGTTTGCTCTGTCAATTTGTTTGTTTTTTTGGTTTTATGCTCCACATATGAGTGCAATCATATGATTTTTATTTTTTCCTGTCTGACTTATTCCCCTCAGCGTGATACCCTCAAGGTCCATCCATGCCGTCAAAAATGGCAAGATTTCATTCTCTTTTCTGCCTCGTAGTGTTCCACGGTGTGAATGCAGCACAGCTTGTTTATCCACTCACCCACTGATGGGCACCTGGGCTGCTTCCAGAGCTTGGCTGCTATAAATCACGCTGCGATGGACAGAGAGGTGAGTATATTCTTTGAAGTAAGTGTTTGGATTTCTTCAGGTAAATACCCAGAAGTAGGATCGCTGGGTCCACAGGCAGTTCCATACTTATTATTTTGAGGGAACTCCACACTGTTTTCCAGGGGGCTGCACCAGTCTGCATTCACACCAACAGTGCGAGAGGGTTCCCTTTACCCACATCCTGGCCAGGACTGGTCTGTTGCTTTATTGAGGGTAGATTTTCCAGCAGACAGGAACTGATACCTCATTGTGGTTTTAGTTTGCATGTCTCTTAGAGACACATTGAGCACTTTTTCAGGACTATTAGCCATCTGTAAGCCATCTGTAAGTCCTCTATTAGCCGTCTGTAAGTGTCTGTTCTGGTCCTCTGCCCATTGCTTTTCAATCCTCACCTGAGGACATGTTTGCTGATTTTAGAGAGATAGAAGAAGGGAGAAAGTGAGAGAGAGAGAGAGAAAGGGAGACATGGACATGAGAGAAATACATGAATCTGTTGCCTCTCATCCAAGCCCCCAGGAGGATAGAACCCTCAGCCCTTTGGTGGACTGGAGGAGGGTCCAACCCACTGAGCCTCTGGGCCAGGGCTGCCCATTTTAAAGGGAGATTGTTTCATCTGCCCCTCACTGTGCACGTCTGTGTGTCTTTGGATGTGAGTTGGGTCTCCTACAAGCAGTGTAATTGGGTTCTACTCTAATATATTCATCTTCTCTGTGCCTTTTGGTTGGTGAGTTCAGCCCATGTCCATTCAGGTGATTATTGACCTATAAGGACCCTTTCCACTCATTTTACCTTTGGTTTCTCATCACATTGTGTCTCCAGTGTTTACTTTCCCCAAGTTCCCCGTCTGTCAGTTCATTGTAGCGGTTCTCTGTGCCTCCTGTCCCTATGGCCACCAGCCCCCCTGTACTACCTGGGCGTCCTTGCACCTGTTCAAGTTTGTAGCCACTCCATGGCCTGAAGGTCACCTCTACCCTTTCTCCCTCTGCCGGCTGGCGGGGGCGTTACAGCCAGATTGGGCTGGGGACCAAGGGGAGTTTCCCTAGGATGACCTCCCCCTTGGGTCTCCCTGATGGAGTCCTGTGGGGAGCGTCCCAGTGTGTGATTGTCCCTTTAAGAGGGGTCCTCACTCCACCACGATGCTGATGTCCCACCCTGTGTCCGCCGGGCACATCAGCCCATGCGCTGCACCTGAAGCCCCGTCCAACCCTCCCCCTCAAGAATCTGCCAGTTTTACTCCAAGGACAACCTGTCTGGTGGTAGCTAAGCAACACAACCCTGCTGTGATGAAGGGGAAGGAACCAGGGGCAAAGGCCCAGGGGGGACTGTGGCAGAGCCCTCCTCGTGGCACCTGAGACACTTTCTCCTTGACTGTTCAGTTCTCATCACTCGAAGCTAGAAGCTAATGAAGCCTCACTAACTCCAAACATTATAAATGAACATAAAGATTCTTTTTTGAGCCAGTGAACCTCCTGTATCCAGCTGTTCCTGAAGTCCTCCTGCTTTCCTCTAGGGTCTGGCAACATTCTGTGTGCACTTGAAACTAATGTGTTTTTCTGTTGCTGAGAGAAATGGCACACACACACATCTCCTGTTGTTGAGAGAGAGAAACATCAGTCAGGTTGCCTTCCTTATGTTCCTTAGGCACAAGTCCTAACTGGGAATCGAACCTGTGGTATTTTGGTACATGGGCGGACAGTCCAATCAACCCAGCCACCCTGGCCAGGGCACATCCCTGTTTGAACTGTTTCTGTAGGTCTGGTTTCTGATTGCAGAGGAAATCATTCAGTCTGTTGGCTCACATTTTTATTTTTATTTTGTCTACAACCTCCCTGATACATTAAGTGGACCTTTTAGAAAATGAAAAGGAAAACATTTGACAATTGATGTGAATGCTCAAAAGGTATTTATTGGACAATTATACTGGAAGCCCCCCCCAAAAAAACAACCATAACAGGACTTAATATGGGAAGTGACAGTTCCCCATAATTTGTGTTTGGGATTCACAGCTGTCCCATGTTTTTCAGGGCGCTGGGTCACCGGCAGAGGGGCTGGTGTCCATGGCTGTGCACACGCAGGGAGCGTCTGTACCTGCTGTGCTCAGAGTCCCATGGCCTTGCCCAGCTGCACTGGCCATGCTGGGACTGAACCCAGGACAGAGGGTCATGAAGCTCCCGTCATCCTTCGCTGGAATTCCGGGAGCGAAAAACGGACGGAGGGGCTCTTCCACAGAAATCAGGGGGAACGTAAAAATGTGGGAGCCATCGCTCACGTCATAAAAGGAAATGGTCCCCACTTCAAAGTCTAGGAAAATGCCAATGTGGTGTAAGGAGGAAATGACCATGAGCTCTGTCACCGGCCTGGTGCTAGCCTGGAAGGTGTCCTTCTCCCTGCAGCTCACAATCCAGAAGCCACGTTCTGAAGAGAGGACGACCTTCTCCTGCCGAGGAACAGACTCCTTGCAGACGCCCAGGTTCCACTCTGTGCTGGTGCCCACGTCCACCTCCCAGTAGTGCCGGCCGGACGTGAGCCGCGGGGAGCCCAGCACACAGAGGGAGGCGCTGAACCTCTCAGGGCAGGCCCTGCGCTTCTGTTCCTCGTACACGCAGCGGACTCGCCGCAGGTCCTCGGAGATGTAGAGATGGTTGTTGGCTGTGTCCACATCCAAGGTCACGTCCACTGTGGAAAGAGAAATAATCTGTCAGCTCTGTCCCCACCCCTCGGGGCCACCTCAGGAACCCACGTGACTCATTCACTATCTCATCTTTAACTCCACACCTTGTGTTTTCCTGGGGGAACTTCCCGGGTCCCCGATTATATCAGATTTCATGGACACAAGGAACGGTCATCATTGGAACTGGCCCTTGGTCGTGACAGGTGTTCTCTCTACATTATTCTCTTTGCTTAGTTGATTAAGGAGGTTTCTTCCCTTTAGTGTGGACTCCGCATGGAAAAAGAGACCATGACTGCTGCATGTTTTCAAAATTAGCATACAAATTATCACAGACTCTGTCCACACATACACCTGAACTAGGCATTTCAAAGGACGGAGAATATTGTACTTACTGCAGAGTAAAATTGACATGAAAGCTTTCTGTTTCCTCTCTCTCTCTCTAAATTATATTAGTTATATATGCACACATATAATATTTTTATATGTAAATATATAAGTATATAAATCTGTATGTATATTTGTAAATATATGTGTATATATGTATTTTTTTCTAAGAGTCCTGACCTTGGGACACATGGACACCTTAGCAGGAACCGGGACTGCAGCTCAATGGGGCAGTGCCTGGAGGGGCCCTAACTTGGAGCACTGGACTGTGAGCTGCAGCCCAGCCTTCCTCCGACTCTGATTGGGGCACAGAGTTCCGCATCTAAGGTGACCCCTGGATGGGGTTGGCCCCGCTTTAGAAAGAAACCTTCTGGAATAGTGATTCCTCGACCCCAGTTTCCGTTTCTGTTATCTCTTTTTTTTCCTTTTTTATTTTAATTTTTATTTTTTTAATCCTTCCCTGAGGATATGTTTTTAGTGATTTTGCACAGGGAGGAAAGGAGGTGTTGGGAAGGAGAGGGACATTCATCGCTTGCCTCACTCATGAGCCCCCTAGCTGGAATCGAACCTGTAACCTTGTGGTGGACAGGAATCTCTTCAACCAACTGAGCCACCTCCAGGGCCCTTTAATTTTTAAAACAATTTTTTAAGTTTCAGTTACAGTTGATGTAGAATACAAAATAATATTGAATGCAACTAGAGTTGAAAACATTAAAAAATCATTGATGTTTGCCAGATGGGAGGGGTTTGGGGCATGAGGTAAAACAGGGGAAGGGATTGGGAAGTACAGATGGGCAGTGACAGAACAGGCCCAGGGTGGTAGTGGGAAGCACAGGGAATACAGTCAGTAATACTGGGGTGATGTGCATGGTGCCAGGTGGGGACTAGGTGATCAAGGCGAATCACTTCTGGAGGTATATGAATATCTAATTACTATGCTGTATTTTTAAACTACTGTAATGTTGTGTGGCAACTGTAATTCAATCATCAACCTCAAACATATTTAAAAACTGAAAATGGTTTACAAACACATTAAAAAACAGTTAAGAATCAGGAAGAATGGATTTTAGGGATACAGGCTATGGGACACCCAACCTCAGATTTCTACTAGATCTATCAAATTTCTGCTCCATCAATGTCCAGTTCCAAGTGACCACCAGCTACCTGTGTGGCTACCGAAAATACTGGACAGTACAGGTCAAGTGCATGACTATGTACTTTTTCTTTTCTTTTTTAAAGTTTTCTTTTTGTTTGTTTTTAGAGAGAGGAGAAGGAATGGAGAAAGAGAGGGAGAGAAACATCAATGTGTGGTTGCCTCTCAAGGGCCGCCTACTGGGAACCTGGCCCACACCCCAGGAATGTGCCCTGACTGGGAATAGAATTGGCAACCCTTTGGTTCCTAAGGCTGGCACTCAGTCCACTGAGTTACACCAGCCAGGGCTAAATCTTATATTTTCTTGAATACCGACAGATGTCTCTGACCTGTGGGGCTTGGTTGAGAGACCTTCTGCCAAGCAACAGGATGCTGGTTTTATTCCTGGTCAGGACATGGGGGCGATTGTGGATTGGGTTCTGGGTCGGGGCCCTTACCAGAGGCAATCCATCCATGTTTCTCTCTTGTATCAGTGTTTCTGACCATCTTTCACTTCCTTTCCCCCTCTCTTCAAATAAATAAATAAAATCTTAAAAAAAACAAACAAACAAAACCTACAGATGGTTTTATTGCAGACTTCCAGGTTGGCACATTGAGAAAGAACGAGCATTTCAGGTGCCAGAACCCAGGTAAAGCACCTTGACTGGAGGGTTTTGACAAGTGGCTGTTTCCCATGGGGTGGGGGCTGGTGGCCCCAGACCTCACCTTGGAACCTGCGCATCCTCGGGTTCATCCTCAGGATGGCTCTCAGCTGGGGCTCCAGTGCCCTGACCTCTGACACCAGCCTGGCCAGCTGGTGTTTGGGCCTGATGTCACTCTTCTGAGAAACCTCAGGGCAGGTGAAGCACACAATCCCGTGTTCCCCGGGGCCCCTCGGCAGTGAGTCGACACACTTGAGGCAGCAGATGAACCCACATTTCAGGCTCACGGGGTCTTCCAGGTAGGACAGGCAAATGTAGCAACTGCTTATGTCTTTAAAATGTTTGGCCATGATCGCTGTCTGGGGGAAGGGACAGGCGGTTAGAACATGGCGAGTGACAAGGACTGATGGGTCCTGGGACTCCACCCTGTTTCTGTGAATAGCGACCTGTACTTCCTGCTCCCAGGCAATCAAGATGCAATACAAGTACAAACATCAATAGCTCATGGCCCAGAAGTTCTGATTTTGAAATGCTAGTTAGCATGAAGTCAAGCTTCATCCTGGAGGTATAAGTTAGGGGGTGAGATGGTCTCTACTCTACTTGTGAAATTTTTTTTTCAATCCCCAGCTAAGGTCAGGTTTTTATTGGTTTTAGAGACAGAGAGGAAGTGGAAGGAGGGAGGGAGGGAGAGATGGAGAGAGAGAGAGAGAGAGAGAGAGAGAGAGAGAGAGAGAGATTGGTTGCTTCTTGTAATGATTCTGAGTGGAGCTCAACCATCAACTCTCAGTTATACGGGATGATGATCAAGCCAACTGAGCCACCTGGCCAGTGCTACCTGTATGTCTTATGTCACATCCTCTAGTCTGGAGTGGCTATTGAGCCAGTGGGATGGGTCTTATCCACCTTGAAAAGTGTTGAGCATAAGATATACCCTCGAATTTTAAGACATCACAGGACAGGAGAACATAAGCCACCTCCCAAAGAACTTCTGAAATTGATGAGATGTTGAATCACTGCCTTCTGCCAGTGATAATGAAAGGTTTGTTTTTTTTTCTTTTGTTTTGTTTATTACTTGGTATATGTGTCTTGTAGAAAATGAGGTTAGCCCTGGCTAGGGAACTCACTTGGTTAGAGCATTGTCCTGATACCCCAAGGTTCAGGTTCAGTCTCAGATCAGGCCTCAGGGAAGAAACAAGCAGTGAATTCATCAATGAGATCATAACAAATTCATGCTTCTCTGTCCCTCACATCAGTAAGTTAAACAAAACAAAACAAAACAAAACCCCCTCATTTACGATGATGTCTCTGTGTGACTTTATATGTCCAGTGGACGGTGCTGGCTGAGACCCAGAAATCCTACAATTGCTCCACCTGAGTGTGGCTGAGACCCACAGCAGAACCTGAGAGGCAGAGTAAGTTAGTGGCTGACACTCCACTCACCACTTGTCAGGGTCCACCCATCTCGGATCTGACTCAGCATAAAAATGACCATGTCATTTCTGCCACCTGGTGTTATACATCTAAGTTCTGCCCACTGCTCCCATCAAAGGCATTCATCCCTAGATGTCCCCTCCCATGCCTGGGACTGAGCTGGCCTCAGTCAGCACTTGCTGAACCTTTTGTAGAAACAGGAAAATCAAAACCATGGACTCACCTCTGGTGCACTAGGTCCTCTTCTGGTCTCCAGCTGCTTCCTCTGCTGGCTCAGCTCTGGAGTGAGGTCGACCAGCAAGCACCTTTTATCAGGCTGGGCCCTCCTCCCACCTCACCCACTTTCTGTTTGTCCCACTCAATCCAATCAGGTTTCCACCCAGGTAATGAGATTTTCTCACCCCACAGAGAGAACTTACCAGGAACAAAGGACATAGTTGTGTATGAAAGTTATTTTTAAATGAATGTGAACAAAATACTGCCATGTAATCATTGTAGATTAGATCCTGAATATCATTTCTGGTCCCATCTTGGGAAATGAATATCAAAAATGAGAACATTTTCTCACTCAATCCTAAAATGGGATCCTTTGGAATGTTGGTGACTGATCTGCCTAAAAATGTTTGGGATCACTGGATTGGGGATTGTAGTTGCATCATATGAGAAACACCAGGCCTCACACTACCTTGTTTTTTTTAAATTTTTTCATTTTTTTAACTATTTTTATTGTTGACATTATTACCAGTGTCCCATTTCTCCCTTTTGCTCACTTTGCCCCTGGCCTCACCTCCCTGCCCTCTGGGCATCAGCAGGCAGTTATCCCAGTCTTTGGGCTAATCTCTTTACCTTGTTCCATCTCCTCCCCTCCTGCCCTCTTCCAGCTGTCAGTCTGTTCCGTTTGTCCATGCCTCTGTCTATTTCAGGTGTGTCAAACTCATTTCACCGGGGGCCACCTCAGCATTGTGGTTTCCTACAAAGAGCCAATAACATTTTTAGGACTGTACAGATGTAACTACTCCTTAACTAGGGGCAAGGACCTCAGTGCTGCTGCCAGGTAGAAACAAGGCGTCGGGCCACATAAAAGAAGGTGGAGCGCTGGATTTGGCCCCAGAGCCTTGTGTTTGCCGCCCGTGGTCTATTTTGTTTATTAGATTCAACAGATAAGTGAGATTAGATGGGGTTTGTAGCCCCGAACTGGCCTTTAAACCTCTTTTGTGCCCTGACTGGTGAGGCTGTTTTGGTTTCGTGTCATCCCGCAAAGCAAAAGGATGCTGGTTGGATCCCTGGTCACAGAGAGAGGCAACTGATGGACGTGTCTCTCTCTCACATTGATGTTTCTCTCCCTTTCTTTCTCCCTTCTCCTCTCTCTGAAAAATAAAAACAGAAACAGATACGTCTCCTCTTTAGTTATGTATGTAGTATTTTAAGAATATTATGTTTATTTTATTTTGTTAATTTTTTAAAATATATTTTATTCATTATGCTATTAGAGTTTTCCCATTTTTCCTCCCCTTTATTCCCCTCCACCCTGTATCTGCCCCACTATCATTCCCCTACCTTAGTTCATGTCCATGGGTCATAAATACAAATTCTTTGGCTTCTCCATTTCCGGTACTATTCTTAACCTCCCCCTGTCTTATTTTGTACCTACCATTTATGCTTATTCCCTGTGCCTTTTCCCCCATTCTCCCCCAATCCCCTCCCCACCGATAAACCTTCATGTCATCTCCATTTCTGTCATTCTGTTCCTGTTCTAGTTGTTTGCTTTGTTTGTTTTTGTTTTAAGTTCAATTATTGATAGTTGTGAATTTCTTATCATTTTACTGTTCATATTTTTGATCATCTACTTTTTCTTCAACTAGTCCCTTTAACATTTCATATAATAAGGGCTTGGTGATGATGAACTCCTTTAACTTGAGCTTATCTGGGAAGCACTTTATCTGCCCTTCCATTCCAAATGATAGCTTTGCTGGATAGATCAATCTTGGATTTAGGTCCTTGCCTTTTGTGACTTCCAATACTTCTTTCCAGCCCCTCCTTGTCTGCAAGGTTTTTTTCTGGAGTGATCAGCTGATAGTCTTATGGGAACTCTTTTGTAGGTAACAGTCTGCTTTCTCTAGTGGTATTTAAGCCGATCTCCTTATCTTTAATCTGGGTAATGTAATTATGCTGTGCCTTGGTCAGGGCTTCTTTGAGTCCTGTGTCTTTGAGACTCTCTGAGCTTCCTGGACTTCCTGAAAGTCCATCTCCTTTGCCAGATTAGGGAAGTCGTCCTTCATTATGTTTTTAAATAAGTTTTAAATTTCTTTCTCTTCCTTTTCTCCTTCTGGCGCCATTATTCGTTGAATGTTGGGACGGTTAAAGTTGTCCCAGAGGTTCCTAAGCCTGTCCTTATTTTTTGAATTCTTGTTTCTTTATTCTGCTTCATGGTTGAATGTTTATGTCTTCCTTTTGCTGCAAATGGTTGATTTCATTCCTTATTTTCTTCTCTTCATTATTGGTTCCCTGTACACCTTCTTTTATTTCACCTTTCATAACCTTCAGTTCTTCCTCTATTTTGCAACCATACTCAATCATTTCTGTGAGCATCCTGATTATCAGTGCTTTGAACTGTGCCTCTGATAGGTTGGCTATGTCTTCACTGCTTAGTTCTATTTTCGGAGTTTGATCTTTTCGTTCCTTTGGGCCATATATTTTCATCTGGGCTCACTTGTTACATAGTAAAGGGTGGAGCCTTGGGTACTTGCTAGGGCGGGGAACCCCGTCACTGTGTTGTGGCCCTGCATGTGGGGGAGGGGTTCGAGAGAGAACAGTGCCGTTTGCTCAGCCCTCACCCCACGTTCAGTCACTTCCCCCACTTCCCATAAGCAAATTGGACCCTTCTGGTGCTGATTCCTAGGTAGGGTGGTTGTGTACATCCTGGGACCCCGTAGGTCTCCCCTGCAAACTCTCCTGTGAGGCTGGGAGTTTCTCCCACCATTACCACAACCCTCACAGGCTTTTAGTCAAAGGTTTTGAGTCTCTATTTCCCCACACTGGAATCCTGGGTTGCTTGGTCTGTCTCGCACCCCAGTCATTCCTCCTGCTGTATCTACGTGCAAATGTGGGACTCCTGCTCCTCCAGTCCCTGCCCCACAGTCTGCTTGTGGCTGTCTCTCCCACTCAAGTCCTTCAGCCCCCGCCTTGCAGTGAGTCCTCTCTGCCAGGCTGCCCATCTCTGCCCCTCACTAAGGTCTGGATGGATATTTCCTCTTTAACTTCTTGGTTGTTGGAATTCCATACAGTTCGATTTTCTCACAGTTCTGGTTATTTTTTGTTTTTAAATTTGTTGTTTTCCTTCTTTTGGTTGTGGGAGGAGGCAAACTATATCTACCTATGCCTCCATCTTGGCCAGATGACTCTTTTCTGCATTAGCTGATTCTTTTTTTAGACTTTTTTAAAAACTGATTTCAGAGAAAGGCAGAGGGAGGGAGAGAAAGAGAGAGAAAGAGAGATTAGTTGTTCCACTCATTTACATTCATTGGATGATTCTTGTACGTGCCCTGACCTGGGATGAAATCCACAACCTTGGCGTATGGGGACGACAGTCTGAACAATTGAACTTCCCAGCAAGGGCCTAAAGCATTTTTTAATAAAGGGATCCTGGTGTCTTTTTCTTTTCTTTTTTTACAATGGTCACACAATATTATAGGAGTGTTAGGTGTGTAGCAGTGATTCGATATTTATATAATTTACCAAAGTGATCCCCTCATTAGGTCTAATTGTCACCTGGCACCATGCAGAGCTATTA